CTTCAAATATGAAAACCACAAAACTCGTCAATGTCAAATATGAATGAATGAATGAATGAATAAAAAACCGAAATTGACTTCCTGATCACAAACAGAAGAGAAAAGAAAATCTTGTTCACACATTGAATCATTTCAAGTGATGATCATGTTGATGATAAGTGTCCAATCATAAAAATGATTGTCAAGTATGTTTGGTTGGTTAATCGGTGAGAGAATTACCAGAAAAAAGAAATTTTGTTTTTGAAATGAAAGAGTTTTTCATATTTTTTTGTTGTTGTTGTTGTTATTGTGATTGTCAAAAATTCACCTAAAAAAATTGGGAAATTTTTGATTGAAATTTGTCACTTGTTATTATTATTATGATTTTTTCATTGTTGCGAAGAGAGAGAGAGAGAGTTGAATATCCAACAAGAAGCAATGACGATGACACTATGAAATGGATATTGTTGTTGTTGTTATTTTTTTTCGTCCATAAAGAAAAAAATGAACAAGGTGTGTGGGCGATAAAGTTTTTGAAGAAAAGAATTGAATTGAATTGAAAATCATTTGTGTGCAGGTGTCACATTCAAATTGTTGTTCATTTCTCATTGGATTCAAAGATATATTTTTGAAAAGAAAGTTTCTTCTTTCTTCTTTTACTTTGTTTTATTTCTTTCTTTCTTTTATGTTGCCAAAAATGGGATAAACAAACAAACAAAAGTAAATTTGCCAGAAAAAAATCCAATTGGCAAATAGATTCGGGGCCAAATAACGGGTTATTATTCACATCCATTATAAAATGATGTTTACATAGTGTCAATGGTTTTGACATCGTATACCGGGTCGGTCATCATCGAATTCAAACACTAAAAACCAATCCTTTGAAGTTTTTTTTTCTTTTTCCGAAATAACGCTTGATGATGATGACAACCATCGATGAACTGAACAACTACTGGACAAACCAACTGGTCAAACAAACATTAACACATATCGTTCGTTTGACAATTTTTTTTTCAGTTTACACAATGATCATATGGTTTCTTCTGGTTAAATTATTCAGTGGTGTTTAGTTGTGTTCTTGGCAATGATAATCTGATTAATTTTCTATTCAAAATGTTGGAATTTTTTCTGTTTCATTGTGATCAACAACCGAAAATAATAATAAAATTGATGTGATAATTGACAGGCAGATGATTTTTTTTTCATTTTGAATTGAAAAATTTCGACCAAATTGATCAAGGCTCAACGGATATAATTTGGAACGGTTTTTTTCCGGAAAATTCAATTTCGATTACAGATCAGATATCCAGAAAAAAATGGTTTGTTGGTTTGGCCAGTAATGAAAATCAATTAAATCTACATAGAATGTATGAAAATAGAAACATTCAATTCATGAACATAATGATTTTATGAACATTAATGAAACTTACTTATCGAAGAAAAAAATAATGAAAAAAAACCAACCATATTATCATTCATCTCGTGTGTGTGTATGTGTTGTGCAAGTTGAAAATCATTCGAACATTACCAATCGGAAATGAACAATATTGTCATCAAGCAACAACGATGATGATGCTAATGATGATACAATATATTCGTGTAATCGATAAACATTATCACCATGTTTATCGAGATTTTGTTTGTTGTTTGCACCACCATTACCATTTATATATCGATATCATTATGATGATGATCGAACGAACGAACGAAAACCACCACAGAAAAAAAAATAATATTGAATCAAATGGTTGACACGAGGCAATTCGTTTCAATTATTATTTTTTTGTTGCAAAAGTGATGAAAATGAATTCAATGATATTTTTTTTGAAGATAAAAATCATTATTTTTTTCTCATCAATTTTTGTTTTCATTTTGCTTTTTTCGTTGTTTGTTCTCGTTATGTTATTCTTTTTTCTTCAAATAAATCTGGTCATTAATAATTTGATTTCGTCGTCGTCGTCGTAGTCGTTGTCGAACTTCTTTGTTACGTTACGATAATATCGGTTTTTGGTGGTTGGAAAAGCGTGAAAAAAAATGTTGACATTTTCACTGCGTATGTTTTTTTCTTCAAAAAGATTCCACATTCTATTCAAATGATGATGATCAAGATTTTATCAAATATTAAAAAACCAAAAAAAAAAACTTTCATATGTCAAACATCATTTAAAACGAGTTTTTTATGTTTTGTTTTGTTTTGTTTTGTTTCTTCCGCTTCTCTTCATCAACAACAAAAAAAATGGATGATTTTCAGCCGAAACATAGATGAAAATACATTTACAAATCACTAATCATTTGATTGACATGGATAGATTTTATCAGCAAATTAAAAAAAAAAACTTTTTTCAATGAAAAATAACAAAATTCAAAATTGAAAATTCAAAACAAAAATCGAATGAACAGCGAAAGAATTCGAATCCTGCAACAAAAAAAAATCTTTTTGTGATAGGGATGCCATCTTTTGGTGAGGAATCAAATCTTTTTCAGAATTGGTGAATTTTTTTTTCTGTTTTTGTTTTCACAGAATTTTCATAAACAGACTCAAAAAAAAAAAAATCTTGTTGCCGTGAATCGTCGGTATCTGGTTTTTCTTTTTCGGTTTCTTTCATTTATTTTCATTAAAAATTCAATGTGAAAATCAAATATTTGTTTACATTAATCGATGAATGAATTTGATTTCATCAAGAATTCTGCTGTGTGTGTGTGATTCTTATGTAAGAAAAAAAAACATTCGAAACTTCTGAACACCCCCATTGATTTTGATTGTTCGGAATTGTATCATTGAAATCTTTGATTCTATTTTTAAACATTTTCCAAAAGAAATTGCGTTTTGTTTGATTAATTGATTGATTATCAACAACAATTTCCAAAGTAAAATCATCATCAAAAATCATTGTTGTCTGCTATCAAAAATGATGATGATACTACTTGGTAGTAATGGGTAATTATCATATATTTTTTCCCAAAAATGTTTGTTTAATTTTCTTTCGAAATTTTTTTTCCAATCCAAACACAAGATAATCAACTATATCAAAATCTCAAATTTTGTCTGTCTCAAATTTTATCCATGGATTTTATTCGTGATTTATGGATTATTAATCATAATTGATGATGATAACAACACAGAGAAATAAATAAATACCATTTTTCCATCATCATCATCATCATCATTATCCATTATTTACGGAGTGCAACAACAAACCATTGATATTTTATCTTTTTGAAAAAAAGTGGTTTCCATTGATGGAAGAGTAAACACAATATAAATATTTTTGGACATTTTCATTATTCTATTCTATCCATTCAATCTTCGACAAAAAAAAATAACCATTATCATCCACCGCCGCCACCAATTGCAACAATAAAAACAAACTAACAACAACAATTACCACTCAAGCATCTCTCGTTGATTGTATAAACAGTACACAAAGGTTGGATTATTACCTATGCCAACGAAATGAGAAGAAGAAATAAAAAACCAAACAACCAACAACAACAATCATCATCATTATCAACATAAAAAGAGAACCATTAACCACTATCAGTTTTCCAACAAGTTAAACAGCAATACACGCAACATACCTGCAAAAAAAATAACACTGACAAATATTTGGATTTCACTGGTTGAATAACTAAAACAAGATTCTCTCACTTATTTTCGACTCGAATCAGTTGTGAAGAAGAAGAAAAAAAGAAGGTTTTTTGATCCATAAACCATTCATTATTATTATTGTTATTATTGTGTGAATGATGATGATGATTATGAAAATTATTCACATCATTCTTCTTCATTCATTCATTTGTTATTACCTGGTGATTTTAGGGTCATCATCTTAATTATAATCAGACAAAATGGCCACTAAAATTATTTGATATTCAACAACAACAACAATACCTCAATTCATTTTTTGATTCGATTCGATTCTCTCCTTCAACAACAACAACGACCAAAAGCAGCTTTATTTTCAAAACTTTTTGTTTCGGACATTTATTTCATCAACAAATCAATCTCATCATCCTCATCATCATGATGATTGTTTTGTTTCAAACTGAATGAATGAATTAAATACGACAAGGTATGTGACTAAATCTCATCAACATTTCACCATAACAACTTGTTTGTTATTTCATTTTCATTCTCTCTTTTTTTTGCTTCATTTGACATTAATAGTGATTTCTGGTTAGATATATTTATGTCATCGTCATCAATGTTTTAAAATTTTTTTCATGTTTTGCATTTCATCCAAATTCAAAAACATTCAAATTGAAAACATTTACCTGCTACGTCACTGGATCAAAAAAAATAAAATCTATCATTTATTTGGTAATCATATCAAATATCGAATCATAATTTTTTTTGATAAAACCAAACGCATGTATCAAATTTCAAAACGAAAAGACAGAAAAAAATCACAAAACTACAAATTGATTTGATTTGATCAAAAAAAGAACAAGCAAAGAGTTGTTCAAATTCATATCAACCATCATCATCAAATCAATGAAAACATTTGTATCGACATTCTCTAATTGATCAAATGATTATTGAAAACATTTGTTTTTCATCATCATCATCATCTTGCTTACAGATGCCATTTTTTTTTCAATCATCAATCATTGATATTTGGAAATAACATTTAACATCATCATCATTGGAAGAAAAAAAAGTCGGTGTTTCGATTTTTTTTTCTGTTTAGTTTTTTGTTTCAGTTTTGTTGTTTATGTTTTAAATAATATCTTCTTCATCAGGATTTTTTCCCCTTCTATTGTTGATGCTGCTATTTATATGATTTGTTTTTTTTTTGGTAGAAGAAAGTGAAAATTTCATTTCGCCCACCTTTGTGCCTTTTTTTTCTATCACACAGATTCCAATCAGATTTTTTTTCAATTCAGATTTAAAGTTTTGCACGTCATTATTATTCATGTGGAAGGATTGTTTAGATTCTGATCAATTCGAATGTGAACAAAATACTGATGATATTGATGGAAATCTATGAATCTTGTCAGAATAGCAATGAATTCTTGAAAATTTTAAAAATTCTGTAAAACAAATTAACGAAAAAATAATGCAGGGAATCAAATTCAAAACGAATAAACAACAATTTGATTTGAAAAAATCCTTATCAAAATTATTTGATTATAAACGTGATTGTTTTAGCCGATTACGTGCATTAAAATCTATTTGTGGTAAGTATTTTATGATGATTATTGTATACATTTTTGATAAAACTTTTCAATAATCATTTCATTTAGATGCAAAAGAAATTAAAGATGTTAAAGAAACATTCACCAGTAATTATTCTGTTATCTATTCTGTTTTTCATGAAACATTTGTCATATTGGATTCGGTTAAATTTAATGGACATCGAAAAAATACCACCGAAGATGATCGATTATTATTCTATATATTTGAAAAGATATTAATTCTTTTACCGGAAAAACTAGAAAAAAAATGGCAAATGAACAGTTTAATATTTATATTTCGAAAATGTTTACAACCAAACAATCTATTGCCTATTCGTTTGGAAGCGATGCGTTTATTTCTAATTTATTATCAAATTCTTGGTGAAATAAATGTTCGACAAAATCCACAGATTGAATTTCTTTATGCATCACTAATTCCTGGTATTGTTTTGAATGATACCATTTTAAACAATCAATATCTTGCCGAATCACCATTGATCGATCCGAATCAAATAAAATATTATGGTATTCGTCCATTTCCTATCGAACCTTTTATCATAAATATTGAACAATCATTAAGTTCATTGCATAGTAATTCATCATCATCATCGGGAACACATGCAAACAACATTAACAGCTATCCTAATTACGAATATAAACAATATACAAAAATATTCTTCACTCAACATTTATTAGATTTTTCAATATCACAATGTGCAAAAATTTATTGGCTTGATCATCGTGAACGTCGCCATCTTCGTGGATTTGAATTTCTTTTTTCATCGTTTGCTCGAATTTATTTGCCTTATATTTTTCCAGTATTGGCAGCAAAAAATCCTAATGAAAATGAATGGAATGATTTTACCATAAGGTTATTGATATCGATTTACCATCCACCGAATGAATTGCCTAAATTAAGAAGATTTCGTGACCATTATTCCAGTCAAAATGAACATGTGCCTTTTTTTCAAGCTGTCGTTATTCAATGGATAGCCAAATATTTACTGGGTAAAGAAGGTGCCAACAATTCAAACAATAGCCAAACGGCAACATTAACTCCTACAAATTCATTCACAGATTCATTTTCTAATAATTTGTCCAAATATTCAAATTCACAATCAAATTTGTTACATTCATCAAATAGTTTATTGTCACAATCATCATCATTATCTTTGTTTAATCAATCATCATCGAAAACTTTATTAAACAATCAACAAAACACACCAACCAGTCCAACATTTGATTATGAAAGTGAATTATTTCGTTTATTATTAAATTCAAGAAGATTCTATGTTGATCTAATACTAAATCTTTTTCATCAATCATTTTTATGGCCATTTCATGAAGATCTTACTACAACAATGCGTGATGTGATCAAAGTATTTCGACAATGGATCTATAAAGAAATTGGTAGTCCATTGCCATTATTTTTAGCCGAACCTACAAATAATATTGGTAATTTAGCAAATTCACCCTTAAGTTCAAATCCGAATTTGATAATTTCATCACATTTATCAAGTAATGATGATAATGTATGTGCTGGTTATATGAATATGATGAATATATTTATTATGTCATCATCGAATGTATTCTTATTGGAAGTTCCATCCGAAATGGCTTCAATACTTGATAAACAAGTTGATGTTTCGAAACGGGTATTCAATATATATCGATATATGGTTATGAAAATCGAAATGGAACGAAGTGTTTGGGAAAATCTTGTTCAAGTATTGATTCGTGTTACCGAATGTATTATCAGTACAGAATTGCCAGCAAAACGTGATGATAATCTTGGTGGTCGTTTAGCACCAGCACTTTTTCAAACATTAGTTGTCACATGGATTAAAGCCAATCTTAACATACAGGTATCAAATCAACTTTGGGAACAATTTCATCAACTTGTTTCATCATTAACCAAATGGGAAGAATTGATCAGTGAATGGAGTAATACAATGTTTATTTTAAATCGTGTCATGTCACGTTATGTATTTCATATTAATCTTAATGAATTACCAATGGATAAAACAATTACTGATCGTAAACGTGAATTACGAAATAAACCTAGATTACATCATATTCGTAGTGTTAGTTCAGCACAGCAGTCACAACAACAGCAACAGCAGCAACAATCTAATGAAACGACAAAAATTAATCAAAATCAACCATTACATTCATCATCAAATCAAAATAACACCCACCATTATCAACAACAACAACAACAACAGCATCATGATCAAAATAGTCGAACATCCAATTATCCGGATTCCATGAAATGTGATTCATCTAAAGTTCCAGTTCAACGTTTGCTTAGCAATGATTCAACAAGTGATAATATTAATAGTTCTCGACAGCAACGAATTGGACGTCAACCAAAAATATCAACACCATTTTTATATTCAGTTTCAGTGAATCGTCATCGTGAATATCATAAAAATCAACTAATAAATCGATTTATAAAACGTAGCCTATCGGATAGTTGTCTGGTAATGACTGTACAACAATCATTATGTCCAATTCGTACACCAGCACAATCTAAAATTCCTTTTGGAAGACGTTCCTATAAATCATCATCGGCATCAGGAAATCGACAAAATTCAAAGAAAAATCGACATAGATCATCAATATTACGTAATAATAATCTACCAATGATTGATGATGAAATCGATGAAGAATTAACTATTGGTATTGGTGAAAATTTTGATTATCAACCGGATTATTATAATGATAATAGCTATAATGATATGTCCGAAGATATTGATGATACTATTTTAATGAACGAATACTATATGATAGATTATCTAAAAAGAAAAACTTTATTTCGATCATATTCTACAAACGATATTACTATTATGCATTCAGCACATCGTCACAATATTGTCCATCCTAATCATCATCATTATCATCAACATTCAGGTCAAACAAATGGATCTGATTCGATAGCTGATACATTGAGCTTAGGTGCATCATATATGGGTGCAGTTGGTGAATGTAATAGTTTGAAAGAAACACCATTAACATTTGATTCAACATCCGCGGCTTCTACTTGTAGTTCATCAATTACCGATCAACAAATGTCTTTTGGATCATCGGAAAGTGGTTCCGTTTCGAATAAACATTGTATAGATACGAATCCATTGTCTAACCGACCAGTATTATTGGGCGGACAATCTCGTGGATGGAATGCCGAAGCTGCCGCTATACTTTGGCGAAGAATGTTGGAAATACTTGGTGATCCTAATGATATCCCAGATCCTAATCTTCATCGAATGGCATTCGAATGTCTTGCAAAAATTACAGAAGATTTTACTAAAATTCGTGACAACATAACATATCTAAATGCTGCTTCTTCTCATCAATCGGGTGAAAATTCTGGCCAATTATTGGTTCCATCATTACATTATTATACCTCATGGTTATTTCGGGCAACAACATTACCTCAAGAATATAAATCTGGTCGACTTTTAGCATATAAATTACTTTGCATGATTGCCATGTATCGTTCGGAACAGGAATTAAGTAAAGAATTTTTGATTCTTTTCTATTTAGCATTGAAACGTGCTATTTTATCTTATGAAATGGTATAATCAATCACAAATTATAATTAATTCAATTTGCTAAAATGTACAAAATTTTTGTTTTCTAATCTATAGGATTTAATCAATATCATTATCAAATATTGTGGATCGAAATTTTTTTCCGCTGCACTTTGGGGATCTTCCTGTTTATTGTTTCATTTTGTTAGCGCAGCTAATGTTGTCATCGGTTCACCCGAAGTTAAAACGGTAATTAATTTGTACAAAATCATTTTAGTTTTGCTATAATTTACAAAAAAAAAATATTGTTCAAAATAGTATCCACGTATCGAATCACTACAATTACTTGGATCATTGATTGGATTTTTTGATGTATTTAGCAATGTACTTTGTCTTCGAATGTCCACTGATACACTTAGTCTTGAACCATATACTGATCTTAAGGTTTGCTATTTACAGGACAAATTCCTTAATCAAAAAAAAAAACTAATCTATTTCAATAACAAAAAAAAAACTTTTATAGGATCATGTAATTGAAATATTAATTGGTGCAAGTAAACGAGAACAAACAGGATTAGGACGTGTCATATCATTTTGTAGTCTTGGTATATTTTTATATCGAGAATTCATAAAAGGATCCGAATTTAATCGTATCAAAGATATTATAAACATTTTAGTTGCTGGAACAAGGGTAAGTTATTGATTATGATGTTTTTTTTTGCTTTGAACAAAATCAATTTGTTTTTCAATTGCCTGTGAATTATCTCTCTCTCGATTCTCAATCAATCACATATATGGTCATGGTGGTGTCGGATACAAAATTTCTTCCTTTATAATTATCCCTGTTTTTTTAATATTTCTTTGTTATATTTCTTTTTGAATGTGCATGCTTGATTTGAAATTAATTTTTATTTTTGTTTAATTTTTTTTTTCGTGTATCAATCTTGAATGATGATGATGATACATATTTGTTTGCTGTTTGATGATTTGATTCATTTTTTTCGTTTGCTCGTTGAATGATAAATAACCTATTCAAAACCAAAAACAAAAAACACTAACTAAGATATCGGTTAAACGAGCCAAATCGGCCGCTTCACCAACACGACCAATAACGCCAATTAATGTTGCCGACGCCACCAACACCACGATCAACACGGCTGCTACTGCTGCTTTCAATAGCCAAACGGCTGATAATTCGAAGGTATAAACCATACGAATTCAATGTCTATATTTGAGAATTATCTGCCCAGAAAAAAAATAATTTCAATCAAATTTATATGAAAAAATTAGATTAGAATTTTTAAAAAAATATTTTCTCATGTTTCTTTTTCTTCACTATAATTTAGTTTAATAATCGTTTAATTTGTCGAGTTGCTTGTGACATGTTACGATTGATAGCTGATCATTCACATTATCTGATGAACAAACATCCAGATCTAGCCAGACGTATAATCGAAGGTCTTTGCTATACATTCGAGCTTCATATCGATGTTATCAAACAGAAAACTTTGTTGAAAGATTTCAAAAATGTAAGTAGTTTTATTTTTTGTGATTCATTTTTCTAATATGCAAAATTTTTTATTTTTTTTTTAGCTTTTGCTTTGTATCATGTTTTGTCTTTCACATTGGTGTATGTCGGTTAGCAAAGATTTTCTTTTGAATACATTCGTATCCGACGATTATCCGGGAAAAATTTTACAATCAAACGAAAACGATAATCGAAAATATTCAGATGAATCATCAAAAAATCAAATTAAACCATGTTTACTTGATTTGGTCATTTCCTTATATGTTTCCATAGTGAATCTGGATCACGTTGCATTGGTTAAAAATCAATCATTAAATTCTCCAACTTCAGAAGCATTGAAAAATTCACCACAAGTAGGTGATATGGAAACAATGGATTATACTATTATGAATTCGTCAAATTCATTTAAAAATGAAGATATGTTAACTGCTGCTATGAGCGATCGTCATCATGGTCTAACATCATCGTTTGATCAGCAAATTGAAAATGCTTCTACATTGAAAAAAGCAGCTCATCTAATTTTATTACATTTTATGAATTTTATGGGTCATTTTCCATTGCCTAAATTACGAACAGCATCATTAAGTGCATTGATTAATGAAAATGATGATAATCCGTATGTTTCATCCGCACAATGTGACAAAGTTGATTATGAATCTCTCAACGCTCCAAATGTACTTGTGTTCACTATTAATGATACTTGTTTGATGTCATTTGTTGAATTACCTATCGAAGCATTTGATTCTTCCATATGGACAAAACTTTTATCATCCGCCTCAACTGATACATTCAATTTGTTACCCGCCAAACCGATTCGTATAATTATACGTAATGTTTTGGGCAAATTTGCATGGGATTCAATAATGCTTGCATCACCATTAGTTCCTGATAGAAATTCTATTAGTCGTCCATTAAGTTCATTAGCGAGCGATCAATCAGCTAAATCAACAAGTCCAGATTTGGCTGATGAAGAAGATGAAAAAGCAATGAATTGTTACAAGAATTCTCTGGCCAAAGATAGCCTTGAGCTTTTAGTGAATTCAATATATGAAACCACTCCTGAATGTCGTCCAAAAGTTTCGGTAACAAATGATGATTTTTTACATTCATTAAATCAAATGCCTGAAGCAGTTGATACATTAGCATTGTTAATTAATCAACATTTCCAAGAATCTCAATTTAATGAAGATCCAGAATTTAATAATCGTCATTATAGAGCCAATCAAGATCAATCATCACCCGACATCGTATCGATCGGTAATAATGATGCCGATTCTTCAAACGATTCAAGTTGTACTGATCTTTTGGATCCGGTCAAAGCTTTTCAATATTGTCGACAAACAATTGAACAATTTGGATTCCTTTCATGGGAAAAACGTAAACAAATTGAATTGTTATCGAAAAGTCAATCAACTGTTCGTGAATTACGTCATTTAGACAATCAACAATTTCGTGATCAACATAAGATTGCCGTCATTTATGTGGGTCCTGGCCAAGAGACACGTGAAAGTATACTACTTAACAAATCTGGAAGTCGAGCTTTTGAAGAATTTGTCTCTCGACTTGGTTGGGAAGTTAACCTAGCTACTCATGCTGGTTTCATGGGTGGTTTACAATCCAATCTAAGTACTGGATTAACGGCACCATATTATGCTGATTCATTCAATGAAGTTATATTTCATGTTTCTACTCGTCTTGAACCAGTCAATAATGAATTTAATGGAAATGCTAGTCAACAACCATCGATTGACAAACAATTGATGAATATGAAAATGAGACATTTAGGAAACGATGAAATACATATTGTTTGGTCAGAACATTATAAAGAATATCGACGAAGTATATTAGCTACTGAATTCGGTGATGTTTTGATTGTTATTTATCCTTTGCCTGCAAACACATTTCCAAATTTATTTCGAATTCAGATAATGCGTAAAGCAGAAGTTCCATTTTTTGGACCTCTTTTTCATGGTGCTGTCGTACATCGTGATGAATTGACCGGTCTAGTAAGAGCGACTGCCATTAATGCATCACGTGGAAAACGTTTAAATATGGATGAATATAAACCATATTTTGAAACTCGTTATGATACTATTAAAAACTTGGTCACCAAATATAAAGATCCTACGATTTTTGAAGAATTTGCTAATCGTATCTACGCTCCACGTTATGATCTGTTACATAGTGAAAAACTTTATGCAACATATGATCTAACAAAATTGATGGATTCTGGTTTTATAACATTGGAAGACTTTATTCAATGTACAATGCAACCGAATCAATCATTTGCATCAATTCCATCAACACCTCATTCGATGACAAATGAGCCTACTTCACCAGCATCCTCAACAATGTCATCGGAAATCTCATTTAGTCAACAACAATATCAATCAAGAACACCGCAATCACCTTCAATACAATCACCATCGGTGATGGATTCTCCAACATCAATGATGATGCCATTCAAAATGACAACAGTTTCTGGTCATCATCCTGTTCCTACTTCCGCATCATCAAATAGTTCGGGAACTTCATTACGAGGATTACGACCAAATAGTCGAAGTTCATTTAAATAATGAATATTTTAATTATTATTATATTTTGTAATAAAAAAAAATGAATAAAAATAATTTTATATGATACACAAGTGAATGAAAATGAAAATTTATTAAACATTCTGATATGACACTCTGTCATCAAATGAAATGAAATGTATATAAACAAAAAAAAAGATGGTTATGGAAAAAAATTTCAATAAAATTTTTTTATTACTTAATAATTTGCTCCAATTTCCAAGCTATTCGATAGGAATCTATTCAACATATTTCTTACATGATCAAGATCACATCGTATAATTTGCCTAGAGGTAATATTAATCTCAACATGAGCATCGTTATCAATTTTGAATGCTAAAAGTTTTTCAACTTTAGGAACATCGTCTGTCATCATTGTTTTTGAATCATGTTTCACCGTACTAACAACAAAATCTTCTTCTTGTAATGAAAACATTTCTCTTAATGAATCGATTAAAAGATTAGTGAATAGTAACTCTTTAGCTTGTGATGAAATTGTTTTGGTGGATGGATAAAATTTCTTTACACGTTGATCATCTGATACCGTGTCGACATCCATCTTTTTGTCACTAGTCAATGATGATATTTCTTCATTTTTTATCGTTGCTTTCAATAATGATGCTATTAATGTATCGGCATACATATCTGATTCCGGTGATGAAATCCAATCAAGTACAACGAATTTTTTTTGTACATTAATCGTTGCTTGTATTTGATCGAAAACTTTAACTGAACAATCAGATATTCGTTCCAGATGATATCCTTGAAATGCATCAAGCATTTGATCATAATCACCTTCAAATGGAACAGTTAAACATTGTGAAATAGTACTCATTACCATATCCGTATATTTGTTTAGATCAGATGGTGCTAATAAATGATAGCTAAAATTACGTTTTACTAATATTCCTGAAAGACGTAGACCGGCTGTAGGTTTTGTTACCGCTAAATTTCCCATTACTTTAGCAATTTTTTCACCACGGAAATGTAATTCCAATGTAACTGTATTTTGTGGATTATGAAATTCGGGTGGATTTTCCTGATCTTCGTATTCACGAATTAAAGCCGATTTTAGTCGATTCATTTCATTTGCTTCACCATGAACCAACATTATGTGCGGTGGTCGAAGTGCTCGAATAAATTCACTTGTTTGCTTATAATCAGTATGAGCAGAAAAAGAAATGTATTCAATTTGACATTTTCTTTGCAATTTTTGTCCACTCATTGCAACAATTTCTTCCGGTTCGGATAAAATCTGTTTGGCCAATGTACCTTCCACACAATAACCGGCAATGATACAACAATTTCTTCGGTCACTGCACCAACTTTCAAACAGTTCACGTGATAATCCTGATTGCATCATACCAGGTGTTGCCATTACAACACACGGACCAATTTCATCCATATCCAAATGTGCTTTTGATTTTAGATTCGAAATATGTTTAAATACGAATGGATTATTGATGGCAATTTGTCGTTTGATTCGATTGTTCATGGCATTAATGTATGTTTGATAAACAGACATACATTTCTTAGCCAACGATGATGCATAATAAATAGGGTATTCATGTAGTTCAGGATGTTGTGCCCAATATTCATCCAATATGAGCAATAATTCTTGTGCACGACCTAATGCAAATACGGGTATCAGGCATTTGCCACCTCGTGTAACAGTATCATAAACAATGCCAGTAAATCTAGCTTCTCTTTCTTCTCTTTTTTCATGAATATGCGTTCCGTATGTTGATTCGATAATAAGAATATCAGGTTTGATGGCAGGAATTTCAGCTGACATAAGATGACGATCTTCTTGACGTGAAAAATCACCCGTATAAAGAATTTTTACACCAGCTATTTCAATCATAAACATTGCAGCACCTAAAACATGGCCAGCATTATAACACCAAAATCGTACACCGGCAATCTCTTTTTCTTCATGAAAATTTATTGTTTCAATTTTATCCATTGATTGTTCAAGATCTTGTTCAGTATAAAGCATCTGTTCAGCCGATATGTTGGAAACTTTTATACAATCAGCCAATAACCAACGATAAATAGCTTTTGTTGCATGCGTCATGAAACATCGTCCTTTGAATGTCGTTTTCTGTAGAAACCACGGTAAAGCTCCACAATGATCCAAATGAAAATGTGATATCAGCAAAAGATCAATCTCTTCGGGATCGATGAGATCGACAAATGGCAAAGCATCCATACCATTAAGACCAGGATGAATACCACAATCAAGTAGAATTTTTTTGCCTTTAAATTCCATATATATACAACTTCGACCAACTTCTTGTCCGGCACCAAGTGGTCGAAGACGTAAAATATCACTATCGATTTCGATCGTACCTTCTTCACGTGCATCAACAATTATCGGTTCCATTATGATTTATTTTTGTTAATTGTTGTTTTTAAAAATCAATTTAACTAAACATCAAAAAACAAAACATGTGACAAATAAACAGACAGATCATACTCTTTCGAATGACAAATTCATACTTGATCAATTCCAAAAAATGTTTAACTTTCATCGTATAAAAACCAACAGGTGAATTTGAATTTTTTTTGTAATTTTTTTTTTGTAAATTTTTAATTTATTGAAATTATTATTGACTAAATAAAAAAAAATATTTGAAATAATCATTTATATATACAATTTTACAAGGTAAACATTGATGATCACATAAAATATTGCATATTTTTTTTCGTTTTCTTCTCATTCGTTTTATATCACAAAACTTTGTTTGGTTATTTATCGATTTATGTATAATTCGGCAAAATATTACTAATATGAATAAAACCTAATTTTAAAATTTTTAAACAGAAATCATATATGGTTGTTTATGATTATCGGCAGTTTTTGTTTGTATAGATGCACGACGATCTAATCGTAATGACCATGAATTTAAAAGATAAAGTGTTATTATAACCAATATGAATAACATTAGTCCAAGAAACAAAATGGCATTTTTATCAATCAATTTTTCATTTGAATTTGATGCGGTTGTTGTTGTTGTTGAATTATTTTCCCCGTTGATGCTGATTTCATTCGATGATTCTAATGGAATTGGATAAACGCGCATCAGAATTTTCGGTGGTCCTTCATCATCATCATCATCATCGTCATCAATATTTTTTGAAGGGTTATTATTAGTATTTCTATCCAAAACAATAAACGAATCAAATGATTTATTATTATGAAAATTATTATTATTATTATTATTAAATGGAAATAAACGTTTTAGATTTTCAATTTCATTTTGTAAAATTAATTTTGCTGATGTTTGATTTAAACGTTCTAAAAAATTCCAATCAACATGTGGAACATATTTGATTTGTTGATTATGGACATTGTTGGTTGTTTGTTGATCAACAAAATTTGAAATAGAATGATTGATTCGAAGCAAAATGATGACAAACATCGTAATCAATGTAGAATAATTGATGTAAACAAAAGACATGATGATTCAACAAGTAACAAAAAAAAATTTCACAAAATGAATCACGAAAAATCACCAAAAAAGTATTAAGCTGCTGCGACGACGATTATGATGATCGGTTGTGATCAATAATTTTGAAAAATTTCTTTCCGTTTTTTTTTGTTGATTATCATTCACGTTTCTTATATTACACCAAAGATTTGTAAATTTTCTTTTCTTCGTAATGAAAAATGATATGATTTTTTTTTTGTTGCTGTAGATTTTCAGCTACGTATCGAGTTTTTTTGTATCATTGAAAAAAGTATACAATAATCAATTTGATCATCAATAATTGAAAACGATGATGATGATTAAAACGCGTGCAAAATTCAATGATGAATATCAATGATTTTTCATGGATCATTTGATTAATTAATTCAGATTTTCAATGATTCATCATTATGACGAGATGGTGATCAATGTATGATTGAAAGAGAAAGTATGAAAATGAAATGAAATAAGAAAAACTGTGAAAAATAAACTTAGTTTCATCAACACACGAAGGAACACACAAAGAAAAGATCAATAAATTTTTTTTTGAGATCGACGATCTTTGTACTTTGATTTGGAGTTTTTTGATTTATTTTGTTTTCAACAAACAAAATTTTCATTTCAGAAACAGCAAAACCAAAACCAAAACTGAAAAAAATGACAATATTTCTCGATGATCAAAATGGTGTTTGGTGCGGAAGAATTTTTTATTTTTCTTCACACTTTCTCTCTCTCTCATCAATAATCATCATCGATATACGAAGAAGAAATCACTTTACAGTCCGAATCGACAAAATCAATTTTTTTTTTTGTCGAAAATCGATTTGTTTGTTGCTATTTGACAAACACTTGTTGATGTTGGCAATTTTTTCTGTTATCTGTCAACGAAAAATCAATGTACTATCGACGATAATGATGATATTTCATTTTTTTTGTTCAGTTCAGTTGTTGGATAATTTAGAAATTCTTACAAATTATTTTTTGTGTTATCATCATCATAATCATCATAATAATAAATAAACAACGTGTTTATCATCAGTAGTTTCTTTTTTTTTTAAAAAAAAAGAGAGAAATTTGTTGTTGATGATAAAAGAAAATGAAAATGAGATTGTGTAATGATATACACAGTCACTGTAATCAAGAGAGAGAGATTTTATAATATCAGGAAAACAAATGAAAAGATAAAACCTAGCAAGCTAACTGTGAACATTTTGACTTTTTGTATTTAACCACATTTGATTATCAACATAGCTTTAAGCTATGCTTGATGATAATCATAATCCATATTTAGGATATGATATGATAGGAAGATGGGATAGGATAGGTTTTTTTTTGGTCAATTCGTTTGTTTGATTTACCGATATGCATGTTTGTGTGTATTGTGTTTATATATGCGGTTTTCAAACAAACGAAAACAAAACAAAACTTCGAGCTTTAATAAAGGAAAAGAAAACAAAAACCGGAAACAAAGTTTTTCATCAACAAACAAAAATGGTTAAAAATCGTCGATGATGATGTTTTTGGATCAATTTTTTTGATTTCCCATTTTTTTCCATCGTTTTCGTTGTTGAGAAAAATCACAAATGATTACGTAATGATGATGACGTCATCATCATCGTAGTCGAAATTATTTCAAGAATTTCTTTTCTTTTGCTATATATAAATCTCAATCCATAAAAAAACAAAAAACAAAGTTTATCGATCGTAATTGTGTTCAATATATGGAACATTTTAACCGAATTAATGGATCATCATCATCATCGACGACGACCGAAAAGTGGAAAAACAAAAAACCGAAAAATAGATTCTGCAGAAATGGTGAAAAACGACCATGACGACAAACAAATGATGATTGAATCTTCTCTCTCTATCCTCCGCAAATAACCTACCTTATGAATCGATCTTATTTTCTATTTTTTGATATTAAAATGAACATGATCGGTAAAGCAAGAAAATAAAATCGGTTTTTCTTTTTATACCAGACAGCAGCACCTGATGTTGGTTGTTTTTGTTGTTGTTGTTAGCTTTTTTGTTGTTGTTGTTGTTTAGCTTTGTTTAGCCATTTGAGAACAAGCCTCAAACAACAACAATATACAGGTTGGTCTCGATTAGATCTTTGTTTTTGAGATTGTTATTTACCTTAAAACTTGGATAATTTTTTAAAGTTTTACAAACAAAAAGGTATGCAATATTGTTGATGTACCTTTGAGAACGAAAAATTCATAATTCTTACCTGAAGAATTCATTGAGCAAAAATTGTTGTTGTTGTCGTTAAGCTGCTCATTTTTGTTGTTTTCGAAAAAAAATCAAAACTTTTTTGTTTTGTTTTGATGAGTGGTGTGTTTTCGTTGTTTGTTTTTGATAAACTTAAAATAACTTTTACACTGAATAAACTGATTAATCAAGTGTGAGCCATTTGTTGTTTTCGATTTTTTTTCATTCAATAAATCTGAATTTCTCTTTCTTTTGCAGAAATATTGTGGTGATTGTCAAATCGAAATCATCATTGTCAATTTCGAATGAAATAGAAAAACGAATTCGAACACAAAAACGTTCGATTTTTTTTTTGGAATTCGAATCATTTCATTTTTTCATTGGCGTTTTTTTTTCATTCTCCCGATAAATTATTAATTTTCCCGATCTGATTTGATTGGATTTTTCATTTGATTCATTCATTTGATTCATCCGATTTATCACCATCATCATCATCAACATTGATTACAATTTTAAAGAATAAACAACTTTCATCAATCATTTTTTTTGGTGCAATATTTTCCGCAACAACGAAAAAATCCATCATCAAATTATACTCATTTGTTTTCCATCCGATTCATTTAGGTTTTATAAATTTTTTTCCTTGTTTAAAATTATCTCTGTGTATGTGTGTGAAAATATTCATCATCAAGAATTTCATACAACAACAACAAAAATAATCGATAAATTGTGGCATGTATAATTCAATTTGAACAAAAAAATTTTTTCTAAAAAAAAAGTTTCATTTTAATAGATTCTATTCGAGTTTCATCATCATCATCAAATTCTGAAACAGAAATTCATTCCCCCCACCAATCTACGACGTCATTTTTTGAAATTGATAATTTAATTAGTATCGAAGCCCGGTAATGTTTGCTATTTTCATAGAATAATTTTGTAATCAATCAATTTTTCATTCCGAAAAAAAGGTCCATTATTATTTGATTGAAATACCATCATCAATTCGAACAAAACAAAAAAAAGAAACAGTATCGAATCAGAAGAATTTTGAAAAAAACATTTTTAGGTAAGAAATTAATTTCTTTTGTTGCAAATTCTGTTGAAATGTTTGTTTGTCCAACATGAATTGATTATCTTTTCTGCCGTATTTTCAGTCTACCTTTTTTTTGATTAATACATCTTTTGTTAGCATTTTCATATATTCTTAGAATTATTTCTTTTCACAAGAGAAAAAAAATTGCACAAGAGAAAATTGCATTCATGATGATGTTATACAGTAGAATACTTTACATATAGAGAATAATCGAGAAGAAAATTGAAATGAGCAACAACCAAGAAAAAAAAATTAATAAAGTCAAACGATTACCGCCTACCATAATAATGACATACAACTAATTCGGTCGATTCGTGTTTCGTATTTCGTTTTCAGAAGAATTATTATAGCTTGTAGAATGTAGAATTAGATTAACAAACAAACGAACGTTATCTGACACGTGAAAAACGATGTATAAAAATCTTTATTTGAAAAGAAAAAATCATTCTTTCATTTTATTTCAAAAAAAAAAAGATATATGATATTCAAAAAAAATTAACGCATGCGTTTCCTTTAATCGAAAACAAAATGAAGAATTTGAAACATTTTTATTACAAACGACGACGATAATGAACGATATCGATAATTAATTTTTCAAAAAAAAAACGATAAAATCATTATTTTTAAATTTCATTTTTTTCCCATAATAATAATTTTTCCATATTCATCACATTCATTGAATTCTATGAACCAAACAAAAAACAAAACAAAAAAATTCTTAAAGAATTCACGGTCATACATTATATTTGAACGGACAATTTTTTTTTTTTGTTTTGTGCATTATTCAAAGCCGCCGCCGCTACTTCTATAACACATTCTTTTGTTGTTTAAAATAAAAAAAAAAAATTCGAACGCTGACGATCAATTTTTTTTTTCTATCTCTCTTTCTCTATATGTGGTGTCTGTCCGTCTACTGCTGCTGCTGCTGCCGCTGCCGTCTTGTGTGTGTAATGAATGAATGAATGAATGAATGAATGAATGAGTGAGCCTAAATGGTAAAAAAAAAGCCATCCAGTGTAATGTGTATTTCTCTTGTATTGCATTTTGGCTGCGTGCTCCCTTTTTCTTTTCTCATTGATTTTCCTCCAGTATATTTTCATTTCAACAAAACTCGTATCCTTTTTTCTCTCTCTCTTTCTCTGTGTGTTTGCGAGTGTGTGACTCAATTTTTTTGTTTTTTTGTTTCTTTTTTCATTATATTTTTACCAATTTGCTATTCATCTTTGTTAATTTTTTTCTTCATCATTACCATCATCATCCATAATAATAATCATCAGCATCATCGAATTGATTCGTTTGATGAAAAAAAAAAGTAAAAAAATTTGCGTGTGTGTGTGTTGATGTGTGTGTTTTCATCATTTAGGATATATAATTTTTTTTTTGTTGTTGTTTTTGTTGTAATTGAGAAATCCCTTTTAGATTATAACTAAATAATAATAAACAACTGAAAATTATTCATCATCATTATTATTATTGTTGTATGTATGTAAATGAATGATAATTAATGTTTTAAAATAGGTATAATAGGCTAAATAATAATGATCCAATAAAGAATTTTAGAAAAAAAACCGGCATACCCAACAGCAATACGAAGCTAAAAGAATCATTATCACATCATTATTTGATTTTTCCCAACAAAAATCAAACAGTTGATCAGCACATTTCTTTTTTTTTGTTTTGTTTTGTTAGTTCCATATGCACATTGAATTCATTCTGTTTTTCTTTATTTGTTTCTTGATGATCTATCGTTAAACTCGAAACCCCCTTTTTGTTTCATTCATTCATTCAGAAAATTATTATCAACTGTTTGATCGATTAATTTTTTTTATTCAATGAAATTAAATAAATAAGAATTATGCAAGAGAGGAAGGTGTTGGGGTGATTTCTACATTGTAAAGTTTTTCTTAATCTAATTAAACTTAACAACTACAACAATGAAATGCATTTTATTTTTTATTGCCCTTTATTACTAAAATTTTTCACCATATTTATTTTTATATAGATTTTATTTAAGACATTTTTTTTCTTTCTTTTTTCTTAAACAGATTCTATTAGCTAATTTTTAACGAAAAGAATCCATTTGTTTCATTGGAATAATTATTATTTACCTGGCATCCAATTGGTTTCTAAATTGACAATTTATAAAAAGAAAAAAACAACAACTAATTTGAATCAAATCAAACAAAAAAACAGTACAAATTATCACAAATATGGCATTGAAGAGAATCCGTAAAGAATTGGAAGATTTGAAACGTGATCCACCGGCACAATGTTCTGCCGGTCCAGTCGGTGAAGATCCGTTCCATTGGCAAGCGACGATTATGGGACCACCAGATAGTCCTTATCAAGGCGGAGTGTTTTTCTTGACGATACATTTTCCAACAGATTATCCGTTCAAGCCTCCAAAAGTTTCATTCACGACGCGTATATATCATCCGAATATAAACAGTAATGGTTCTATATGTCTGGATATATTACGATCACAATGGTCGCCTGCATTGACCATTTCAAAAGTTTTGCTTTCAATTTGTTCACTATTATGCGATCCAAATCCCGATGATCCTTTGGTACCAGAAATTGCTCGTATTTACAAAACTGATCGCGATAAATACAATGAATTTGCACGAGAATGGACTCGTAAATATGCAATGTGATGATGCAAGAAAATAATTATTGAAGGATGATGTATAATGTGTGTCTCTATGTGTGAATGTGTGTGTGTGTGTTTATGTCTCTTTGTATGTAACGATTTATTATTATCTCGAATTCAAAACGTTGTCAGGTGTGATCCCATTATTTTAATTTGATCTTCAACAAAATTAACATCTTTGTTTCTCTTAAATCAATTTTATTAAATCAGAAAAAAAATTCCCTCAAAGATATCAACCACACAACAACAACAACAACAACCTGTAAACAAAAACAAAAAAAAATAAAACTATTACAAAAAAAAAACATTTTAAAAAAGCTTTGTCTTCTTCGTCAATCTTATGATGGTCATTTTTTTACAACATCAACCACAACAACAACAATAATAGAAAATTTTAGCGAGCAAAAAACAACAACAACAACAAATATTGACATCAGAAACAATGAAAAAAAAAATAATAAAATTTTAAAAAAATCTATAATTTGTAATTGTGTGTTTGTGTGTTTGAAATTGTAATATCATCAATCGATCAAATTTTAAATTAATTGTTGATGATCGATTATAATTCTCGTTTTAATATTTAACGAATTTGATATTCATTCAATAATTATATCCACTTACACTTGACACTTGAAATGCGCGCAGAGATCAAACAAACAAAAAAAAGATTCATTTGACCATCCAAAATTCAAACTATGAATTTCAAAATTCTTTTCATTCATTCATTTTCTTTTCTGAAAACATCCAGTATCAGAATACCAAAATCACACATTAACCAAAATCTTAAACATTCAACCACACACACACAGACATCATCCTTTATCAAAACACTTTCACAAAACATAAAAAAAATTATAGAAAATTTGAATGCTTCTCTCTGACAATAATGAAAATTTGTATAAAATGGAATCGCGCGATGTATTTGATGATGATGATTATAAAATAAAAATTATTTTCAACAACCAAAATCAAGTTTTCCAAAAATGTTTTTATTTATTTATTTTACTTTCAAAATCAAATTAGGCAAAGATTTTTTTTTTAGAAGAAGAAATTCAACAATATTAATCGAATCAAATTATTATCAAAATATTTAGAAAATGAGCAAACTTATTTTTCGAAATTCAAGATTTTTTTTTGGTCAATAAAATCTTGACAAACAATTACGAATCTCATTATTTGTTATTGAAAAACGTTGTCGTAATGTTTCCATATTGGCCAATTTTGGTCCTTGACTAATATAACGAAGAATAACACAACAATTTGTTAGACGATTATTTTGTTGATAATAATCAACAAATTTTAAAAATTGTTGTCGAGATAATTTTGGTTTATTTGTCCAATTAGGATTAACAATAGCATAATCAATTGATTCGATTATTTCACCAAGATTTGTATCACATGATTCAATCATTAGATCATTAATGGAAAAAATATTTGCACCACCAGCACGTAAAATATTTTCACATGAATTCAATAATGTATCATCATCAATCATTGGATTCAATAATAAAATTTTCCAATCTTCAAATATTTTTTTATTATTATTTTCATCAATTTGTTGTTTCCATTCGATAGCCGATTTCATTAATCGATTACCATTGAATTCAGATTGAATATTGTTATTATCACTATTGTTTGATTGTAAATCATTTGAATCTATTCCCCATTGATAATTTTGTTCTGGTAATAATTTTTTAGCCTGAATTGAATCATAAATATATTCTGGTTTCAGAATGAATGCACCAGCCGAAATAGCAGCAAAAACTTTTTCCGAACATTTTGGTTGATTCAATATTAAATGTGTTACTTCATTGGTAAATATTTTATCATCAATTATGATAATATTTAAAATATCTTGTGATAATTTTATTAATTTTGTTTTCGAATCATCATCGAATGCTGAAAACATAAATCCAGCCAAAAAATTCATTGTTTTAATTTGATCATTCATTATTGATGATGAACATGATTGTTTTTCATTTGTATCAATTTCAGTTACTTTATCATAATCATCATCATCATCATTATTCATTTCTTCATGATCGAATAATGATGATGTTCGTAATTTTTTTGAATTTTTCGATTCATTATTATCATCATTACTTTTTGTTGATTCAGGTGACGATCTAGGTGTATCGGATTTTTTCTCAAGACTCCAAACAAAATCCGGACTATCATCATCCGAGCTAACATTACCTAATATTGAATGATTTCGCTTGGGAGAATAAGTTTCGTCAACAAATTTCAATTTTAAAATATCATTCAGATCAATTTTCAAAAGATTTGTTTCTTTAAATATGTTAAGATTTTTGCTAGACAATGTATTCGATGATGATGATGATGATGTTGTTTGTTTTTTTAGCTGTGAATATGAATGAATACGATAATTAGTTTGTGAACAAAGTTTACATGATCGAATACAATTAATAAACCAATCGATTGTAACTAAACGATGAACATATTCTTGATTTTCTAAAAGTTGTTTAAAAGATGATTCAGTAATATCTTTACCAACAATCACATCGGTTACAGAATCACATAATGATTCATAGAAAAAAGCACCAAATTTTTGTGCACAATTTCTTATCATAATCAATAAATTTTTATCAAATCCTATTGCATAAATTGAATTACCATCGAAAAGTTGTTCATTACATTGATTTGATTCAATAATTTCTTTTAAAATTGATTGCAAATTTGTTTGTTTTTCGTTTGATTTCTCAACAGTAAATGGAACAATATTGGTAGTTAATATTGATTTTTTAGTTGGCACAGTAGTAATAGTTGTTGAATGATTTTCATCAATTAAATTTTCAATATTATAATTTTCAAATGGCAATACAAATCCGGCCTTTATCGAATCATCAACCCATTTAGGCAATAAACAAGGAATATTTAAACGTTTTGCATTTAAATATTTTTCACCACGTTTTTCCTGCACCAATAATATTGAATTTGGTAAAATTGGTCTCAATATTAATGATGGATGATATTTACCACCATTCGATTGCAATATATTTTTTATTCTATCACGTTCAGTAATACCAGATGAAGTTATATTCAGACCATAAAATAATGGTAATCTATATTGATTAACAATTGATTCTTCATCAGCTTTTCGATGTTCATATTGATATTTTGTCCAACATGATTCTATCCAATCAAATGATACCATAGTTATATGATTTTCAGCAGCTGCACGTGCTTTTCTTGTTAGAACTGAATCAGAAACAACAACATTTGTTTGACGACAAAGATTTTCATAATAATTTCCGGACATTAATTGTACACGATTTTTAACTAAATCTCTTTTTTTCTGTGATAGATTAGAAGTTGTTATTTCTAATCCACGCATACATTGACTGAAAATTGGCCATGTACGTTTGGGCAATGCTGAATGTGGACATTTACAAATATCATTATCACAATATGTTATTACCAATGGACCAATAATACGAAATTTATCATTAAAACATTCGATAATTTCATTGTCAAAACGATCGGTTACAATAAAAATAACGGCAAAATAACTTAATGAACTTGCTATTGATTTCATTTTTTCGAAACTTATCCATCGTGGTCGGAGTTTACGTTTTTCAATCGACATAAATGCTTTTTGCATTATATCAGGTGGTATCGTTTGATCAGATCCAAATGTCAAAAAGAAAAATTTTTCCGTTGACTCGGTGGAATTATTCATATTTGTTTCCAAAAAAAAACAAACAAACAAAATTCGTAAATAGAAATGTGCGCCAAAAAACCGTTATGAAAACATTGTTGTCTGCATTTAGCTCGAATGGACCATCCAACCAATACGTGACAAAAAAAAAAATTTTTTTCAAACAAAATTTTAATCAAATTGACAAAATATTATATCAAGAATGACGAGAATCAAAGAATTTAACAAAATTATTATTATTTTAAATTCAGTTTTATTGATCACGTTGTGCACGTGAAAATATTACCGGTTGTTCATCAAGATTTAAACCATTCTGTTTTAATGCATCGATAAATGATGATAATTTTTCACCACTTTTCCTTTGTTCACGATAATCATAAAATACTGAATGAATACCTGATTCTAATGATCTCATAGCTAATACTTGACCAAGTATTTTTGCTGCTTTAACATCCGTATAGGTTGATTTTGAACCAAGAAATACAGCTATTGATGGTTCATTTGTTGAAGCCGATACAATTGTTCTTCCAGAATGATGTACAATTTTTCCAATCAAATATTTTGATCGTTTTTCCAATATAACTTTATTCCAATAATGACGATTTTGTTCATCCATTTCATAACCCATTGGTTTTGGTTCCATAAGTAATTGTTCTAAATTACGTGGATTACGATTCTTCAAACGAACGTCCAAATATTTTTCATTACCATTTTCATTTAATTCCGATTTATCAACTTCAATATCTGAACATAATCTTGTTATACGTTTATTACTAACATAAGCCATATGTCTATAAATTTGTTGTACAATTTTAACGTGTTTGATGTTGTTGTTGTTGTTGTTGTACAATCCATCTATCAAACAATGTCTGTAACATGGTAATGAAATCTTCAACAAATAATTCAAATAATACATCATCCAATTGATTTAAATCGTCCAAATGATCAGTTGTTTGATGATGATGGTGATTATGATGAAAATGTTCAATAATATTTCTATGAAATTCGTCAAAAATTGTACAAGTCATTCAGTGAAAATTTATATTTTGATTCAAAACATTTTAGCAGAAAATATATTTACCAACAACAACAAAAAAAACTGTATATTGCTCGTTTGGTTTGTCCCGTTGTTTACAATCGAATTCGATATGATCGAAGATGAATTCACACCAAATCACGTGTGTTTTTCATTTCAAGTTGAATAATAACGAATATAGATGGCAGTCTACCACCATAATTTGAAATGCAAATAATTTTTGATTTTTTCGGCGGCTTTTTTTTTGGCCACACAAACATTATGATGATAATTAGCTTTAGGTTATTGGATGGACCACCCGAGAAATAAATAAACATATAGCATATACACAGTGTGTGTGTAAACCAATATGAGATGCGAAAAAAACCATTGGATGATGATCATGATGATCATTTATATTGAAAAAACCGCCAATGTTTTCGATTAGTTATCATTATCATTTTTTTCATTAGAATCTTCTTCGTTGTTCATAATTCAACTTTTTTTCCATCATCATCATCATTCAACATCGGTTTTTCTTTTTCTTCTTCATTGGTTGTTCAATTCTTGTTTTCCAAACATTCGATAATAATGATGGTCAAATGGTGTGAATTATGATGTCGAATAATAATAATTGTCATCTTTTTTGCTGAAATGACCAAAGAAAAAAGAAAAACGACCCGCCATAATAAACAACGTTTCGAAGATTGGCTTTTTCTTGGCTTTCATCTTTCGTCTTATTGAGTTTTAAAATTTATGTTTGATCATTTGTTTAACTCGTCTTATTATGGTCTCTTCTTCTCATTGTGTCATCATCGTCTTGGTCGTCGTCGTCGTTGTCCTGGTTTTTCTTTCTTTCTTTTCTTTCCGAATTAAATTATTATCATACATTATTATTATTATTATTATAAATTGGAATCTATCGACCACACATATGATGTATCCTCTCTTTCTTTCTTTTCGTTCTCCTACATCAGTATATTAAAGAGATGGGAAGAGAAATTGATTGCGAAAAGTAGAAGATTTGGGACCCATTTTATTTCGCAAATATTGTTTGAACATCTTTGTATCATCGGTGTTGAATATGAAAAATTATACACACCATCATCAATGAAATGATTGGATTTTCGGTCGCTTTTGGTCGAAAAAACCACACAAAAAAAGGATTCGGATTTCTTTTTTTTCAGCACACAATTGATGATGTCAAAGTTTTTTTTACCATAATGATAGAGTTGTTGTTGTCGGGTTTTTTTTTTGTCTTCTTCTCCACTCGATGATTGCCTAATATCATTGAATTTCTAATCAGAAAGTATAATTGACTGTGTGATGACCACCAATAATAATAATAATACCAAAACCAAGCGACGACAAAAAAGAAAACTGATTTTTCATTCCTGGGGTTAACATTTTTCTTTTTTTCTTCTCAGCCCTTGAATTCGTAATAACACACAGAGAGAGCATGGATAGAGAAAAGATTTTTTCCCAAAATTTCCATTAATAATAATACCCCCCTCCAAAAAACAATGTAATAATATCCAACAGAAAGCAAAAGATTGATTAAGATAAACGGTCAATTGACAATAACAAAAATGGCAAATGTTTGTGTGTGTGTGTGTTTGTGTTAAAAACAGCTTTTGGCTTTTATACATTTTGGATATCTAAATTCTGATAGATATTATTTAAGAATCATGTCGTATTTTATATAATGTCGATTGATGATGATGATGATGATGATAATGTGCATTTTTAACCCCTACCACCAACACCAGTGTCATTATCATCATCAGAATATTATCTGATAGAGGAATTGAACGGATTGAACAAAACGAACCCCACACTAATGATGACATATGACGAATTATAATCAAAAAATGGCAAACAAACGTGTGTCGTTGTCGATATTATCACCATCATCATCATCATCGATATCACCATTATCATCATCGATATTCGTAGATGAAAATGGACAATACGTGCACATCGTAAATCTTTTCTGTTTTGGCTGTTGTTGTAAAAATGACTTTTATTTCCCTGCGTGTTAATCTGTGAAACAGAGAAAAAAACAGGAAAAAATGATGGTGATTTTCGTTGAAAATCACATTATTTACATTAATCGTTTTTTTTTGGTATTCTTTTATATGAAACAAACAGAAGAAAAAGAAATTGATTCGAATTTTCTGATATCTGAAAACATCACGCAAAGATGAAATATATCATAGTTTTGTCTTGGTTGTTGTTGTTGTTAAAAAATTTTCACACTTTTCTGATTTTTTTTTTTATTTTCTCCGGCTTCCTTATTCTCTTTTTTTTTTTTGATTCTGGTCGAATGAAATGAAAATAAAGATATTAGGTATTTGCAGAATTGAACATCACCGCCACAACCACCACCACCACCATAAATCGAAATCGAAATAGGAAAATATGTTTTCGATGATAAAACGATGATGATCATAATGATGACATTTAAAATCCAAATTGAAACAAATTATGGTGGTTTGGAAGAATTTTTCAATTCCAAACAAACCAAAACAAAATGATGATGATGATTATTGTCCATTATATATATGGATTGCCGTCAATGAAATGTTTCAATAATAAATTTTTATTTATGTTTGTCACATTTTTTTTGGCTTTTTGGTTTGTTCATTTGTTAAAGTTTTTTTTTCATTCTTTTTTCGGGTAAACAGTTACTGTGGTTTTCACCGATCCAAAACAAATATCCATTCATTCAACTTTTTGAATTTTTTTTCCCTATACCGGACACAATAACCATTTTTTTTGGTGTATGGCTAACCATCATCATCATCATCATAATCATTTCGTGAAACATGACACGAGATATATATTTTTATTTATCGATATTTGGTTTTTGGTTTGTAACAGTCTTTTTTTTTCTCTTTCGTCCTGGTGAATTATAATAAATTTTGTTATTAATAAAAATTTATATTTATTGTTTTGGTTATCGAGAAAGAGAGAAGTTAGTTAGTTTTAGGTCGAATATGAAGAAAAAAAGAAAGAATATACGTTTTTATGGATATTCTTTGGATCACACTATACAGATTGGACAAATTACGATGATGATGATGATGATGATGATGTCCGATTGATTGTCGAAAAGATAATGGCCATAACAAAAACAAAATAATCATAAATTTTTGTGAATCTTCCAATCAACCAACCAACCATGGAAAAACAAAGAATTGTAAGGAAAAATATTCCAACTAATTAGCAGTTTAATGATCATCATTAGTGTACAAATTTTTTTTTTTGGTCATTTTCTGATTTAAGATTATGATAAACTTTTTTTTCTATTTCAATTAACATTGTGATTTATGCATTTTGGCTGTGAATATTTCGGAATAATAATTTGAATTTCGAATAAATTCTGTGTTGTCTATAGTCGGTTGTCTTATTCAAATTCTTGTTGTTTTGACTGCCCTTTTTTTGTGTATTTCAAAGAATCAAACAATAATAATAAAAATCCAAATGATAAATCAAATGATGTCAATTTTTTTACCATCATCCAGATCATGACATCAATAATAATGTTCCTATTCTCTCTTCTATTTTGCTATTTGACAATTTCTATTTCACTGCTATTTCACTCCTGGTCATACAAACAAACAAACAATCATCGTCATTATGGAAACTACAATAACAACAACAACAACAACCATCGACCAACAACAACAACATTTATTCAAAAGAGGTATATTTTTCAAACCAACAACAACAACAACAAATATTAATGATAACATCATCTTTATCATCGACAATAACAACCAGAAAAAAAACCAAAGAAAAAATCAATGTAATAAATATTCTCTTGAATTGGATTTTATTATCGCTTCGTTCGTTTCCCAAAAGCATCAACAACAACGGATCCATTTCACACGCGACATTTACACACAAACACACACACACACACATCTTTCATCTTTATCAAATGTGTGTTATATAAATTATGTAATAATAATAATAATAATAATAATAATAGGTTCACGTATTTTATCTGTATACGATATGATATGATATGATATTGTCCATCTTTTTGACTATAATAATAATAATAATAATAATAAGCAATGATGATGATGACCAATAATGGCCCATCGGATATAGATGTTTGTTGTTGTTGTTGTTGTTGTTGTTGTTGTTATTATTATCATTTGGCTATCAATTCTAAATATGAAATATCTATCTATCTATCTATCTATCTATCGATAATATTGTTGTCTATTTGCGATAGTGAAAATTCAAAATGTCTTTCATATTCTGTATATTCTGTATATTCTGTATAATATGTCCAATTGGTTTTGATTTATGTCTCCAGATTAGTTGGTGTGTTTGAGTGCAGAATAATAACCAAATGAAAAAAATCGAAATTGCCACATAGGATTCATTCATTCATTCATTCATTCATCCATTTTCAATAATTTCGATTGTCTAGTGGGATTCATTTTTTTTTTATTTTCTGGTTTTTGACCATTTCAAATGTCTTTTTCTTCTGCAAAAATAATTTGAATTTTCTATAACCTAAAATCTGATTGTCAATATGATGATTTTGACATTGGCTTTTGTTTTTTTCGAAAAAAAAGTTATGAAAAATTTTTTTTCCACCATTAAATTAATTTTCAATCCAATCATTTGGATGCTGTGTGTGTTGGTGTGTCCATTGTCCATAAATTTTCAATGAAAAAAAACACAAAAATTCCATTCAAAATGATGATATTAAAATTTTAAAGTTGGTGGTTGACAGTATTTTGTTTGCAAAAGGAAAAAATTTTAAGTCCAAACAAAAACAAAGCAAACACAGAATGCAAAAAAAAACAATCACGGATTTAAACCAAAATAAAATGACCAATCGAAAACATAGTTTCGAAAAAAATACTTATAAATTCTTCAATGATATATGATAATTTAGTATTACTGAATAAATGGCCAAACATCCAAATGTCAATATTGAATATTAAACGATGATGATTCCATATAATAATAATAATTAGCATTTCTTGGTCATCACGACCATTGAATATCGTAATTGAGTGAGTGTGTGTATTTGGCCTCCCATGATGTTTTCAATAATAAATTTTGTGGTTTTAAAATTCTATTTTTTTTTTCTTCAAAAAAGTAGAATTTTATTTTCATTTTCATTTTCACTTGATCGAAAAGCTTTTTTTT